TCGAGGGCAAATGTAGTATTTTAAGGACAATCTCTCAGCCAAGGACATTATCAGCCGATATACCAGCAAGCCAGAAAGGGGTTTAGTAATTTTATAACCCTCGCATAAATTTCCATACCGCGCAAAAGCTGATGATCTTTTTTGTGTTTTCTGGAACAGCATTTGCGACCAGCGTTTTAATGTCACCATCACTTGACTCTAAAAAACCAGATTGTTTTTCCCCCACGTAAAATATTACAGATGGAAGGTAAAATTCTTGAGTCAGGTCTTTCACGAGAAATCGTTTTGTTCCGATGTTGTGCTTATTCAAATGGTCTTACAATCTTAATTCTATTCACTTAGGTAGAGCTTCCATCGCAGTTCATGGAGAATTGGCTATATGATAAAACTTCCATGAATTTGGTCAGTGGCCATTACCACACCAACGATACCTTACCAGATGAACTTTTCCAACAGGTTTGCAAAGGTTCGTGGTTTGTTTATCTGGGGTCTTGCTAAATTACGAAAACGTATGTAAGGTATAAAGAAAGGTGTCATCGATTGTCACGAGTGTTCGACGGATAAAAGGTAATATCAGTCGCCATGAAGATTCAAATTTCTGATTCCGCGAGGACGCGGTTGAACCAACTAAGTCTCAGATTGGAACTTGTTGGTGAGCAGATGTAACTAACGAGTGCCAGGATCTGCAATGTTGAAAACTGAGCTCAGTTGCTGTTGTTTTTTTTAAGGTTAGTTATCTTGTGTTGTCTGTTTCTTTTCGTTCTTTGTAGCTCGTAGATTCATGGCAGGGTCACAGATGTTACGTCAGCTTTATTTCGGAGCACTCGACATGGAGCTACACTCAAGGTACTTAAAGAAATCTGAGGTTCTGTCCACTAAACAGCTGTTCTTAAATATTGGTTTAAGTTGCGATGATGTGTTCCCAAGTAAGGCATCTTTCCAAATTTAAGGAGGCATCATATTCAAGTAATACAAGACAATCAAGTTAGTTTTATCAACTGAGTTCATAATGTAAATTAGCCACCGTAAAGAGCTCCAAAGGTTAAAGCACTGTAATATTTGCCAAAGGCCCCAAACCACTGCAACCTTTATAGAGGCGTTTTTCCGTTTTTTTTTTTCTTCCTTTAATTTTCAATTTGACAAAAAACGAAAAACGCCCTCCTACAGCAAAATATATAGAGATAGTAAAGGAGCGTGATTACACGAGGGAGCTTATCACGGTTCTGTAGGATAGAAAAACTTGGAGTAACTCTGAATGGGACGACAGTTCATTACAAGGTTCTCCCTGTAGTATTCTATCCGGCAGGGTTCCTTAACAATTCGGGCATATCCTTTTTATACTCTTCACTGTGATGAGGCCCGTCGTAAGACACTTCACGATCTGTCTTTCACTACCTTGAGCCCGGTGGTATTCAAAAGAGGATTGACTTTATGAAGGGTTGTCTCTGAATTTTCCTTCAAGTGTCCTCTGTTAAACGTTAAATAACAAGTTAACCTTCCTTTACGAAAAACTAACCGTACTCATTCAGTGGTTAAAATTCAAGCCTATGTTAACCCCAAGTTAAACTTCGTGCGGCAGTTGAAGTTAATCCTATGGTTAGATCGAAAGCATTGCCTGTTGCTTGGCCGTTGTGAGTTACTACCCACAAGTCAACAAGCTCGCGGGCGGTTAAAATAGAAGAGCAGCGAGAAATGTCAGTCAGGGCTATCTCTTTGCATGTTTCTTACGGTGAACTAGCTTCTTTATAGGATACTTCTAACTCTGGATATTATAACAATTTGCCTCTTTCGCTCGTTTGATCTCTCAGGTTAGCCATAGTACGTAGGCACTGTACAGTTACAGAGGTAGAACTAGCCAAAAGAAAGTCAAAAACTTCAAGTCGGGAGAGACCTGTTACTCATCGAATTGATTTAAGAGCATTTAACAGTTTCTCAGCTCAAGCTCAGAGGGTTAACATTATTTTTTCCAACAGTTCCGAGCCGTGGCGTACCGTCCTTGAACGGATCTCAAGCAAATATACTGTGCTTAAACCACTTGACGAAGATAGATTTCCCTGCTCGTTTCTTCACATCTTCGCAAGTGGATATGCTGCTGGATATTACTCTTATAAATGGGCAGAGGTAAGTGACCGTTTGACCCATTCAATCTGTTAACTGCAGATGAGAAGTTGAAATACAGTGATAGTTAAATGTATGATTTTATGTAAATTCCTAGATGATGTCTGCAGATGCCTTCAGTGCGTTTGAGGAAGTCGGTTTAAGCAACAGAAAAGAGCTGAGTACAGTTGGAAAAAGGTACTTTAATTTTGACGTAAACACACTAGCCTGCTGTCAAACATCTTTGGGTAGGTGAGCGTATCAGGTCCGCCAATGTTCGCGCCGCTAAGTTTAGTGCCTTCAGAAAATTAACCAAGGCTTATCACATGTTACACATGAACCAAATCGTGTTATTAAGGTTCGTTCACCAAAACTGCAACCCTTTTTCAAGACCTTCTAGCGATGATGAGAGGCAACTGTAAGCTGGAAGATTTTATTGAAGTCTATTTATTTATTCAAATGATATTTAAAAAAAAAACAGTAAAACTTGCAGTTTGTAAATAACTTGTGGAATTTAGTTTTTTTGGAAAAAACAACATTTTGAGTAGAGGATACACTGACTAGGAGTTATCAACTAATAACTTATCAAAGTCAACAACCATAACTTTTATTTGTGCTGATCTTTTACACCTGATCATATCTCGTGAAAATAAAGCCTTATTCAGACTCTAACATTTCACAGGTTCCGCGATACTATCCTGGCCAGCGGTGGTGCCCGCCACCCTAGTGACGTTTTTCAGGACTTTCGCGGCCGACCAGTTTCCTCTGACGCCCTGCTCAAAAGTTACGGGCTTCAGTGATAATAACAAAGAATAAATCGCTTTCGCGTGTAGTAACGCTGGCCACACTGATGGTTTGAATATTGAAAAAGGTCTGTAGTGCAAATTTACCAGTCCAGTGGGCAACGAACTAAGTCTTGGACCGGCCTTGGCCACACGCCAAGCTGATGCCATCAAACTCGGTGGCCGCTGATTCAAGTTCTTTTCCATACAAGTGCTACCTTGACGTACTAGTTCACTGCATATCCACCATGTTGACTCAACACTTACCGCTGATTCAGATGTATTCTAATGCAAATCTCAAGTGCCTATTGGCTAACCTACTCGTTTTCCATCATCCCGAAATAGAGAAAACAGTGTTATTAAAAAGCACGCTATTCTCCAGTTAAAGCTTTGTGATAATGGAGGCAAAGAGGAGAAATAAAAGCTGACACTACAATAAAATAGTGGGGTCTGACGACATGTTGTTGTTATTGGATTAATTTTGAATGGAGCATCGAATTAAACCGGGATGACCTTGTATTATCTCTAACTCGCTCTGAGATTGGTCCAGAAAACTGGACCCTCCCAACCAAAGAGATTCAAAACGAATACCACTCGTGGCTTGGTCAAGCGCGTTTTCCCGCGCTATTAGTAGCTTGCCTGTTTTGTTCTCATTGGCTAATGATGATGTTATCCTTTGTCGTGATTGGCTGTAGTGAATGTTATTTTAAGTCAAGAACAGAGTGCTTGAATCTGAATTGTCCTTTACCGCCCTTGCAATCGCTTGATTTGGCTGATTCTGTGCTAGAACGGTGATTAAGACCAGCTCATACAAACTAGAAGTCAGGTGTGAAGGTCTGTTCTCTTTTGCGCGTGCCTCTTGCGTTCAGATAAAGTGCATGTTGGGTGATCTACGACACTCAAAAGGGAGGATCGAGTTTAGGCGGAGATATTTGAATGTACGACAAGGATCATCTGACGTATTTAGTCAGAGTTACTTCTGATGCAAAGTTCTAGGGTGCACCCAAGCATAGCTCATCGCAGTGATTTCAGTTCTTTAGTTGAAAATGACTCGTTAAAATCTTGAACCATCAACTTCACAAATGAACACTCCGCATGTGAACTCCGCATGGCGTTGATTACTTGTTGTAAGCTGACGCCTTTCAACTGATATATTCATGTACACTAGCGAGCGGCTGTGCTACTTTCAGGCGTATCAATGAAAATGATTTAAAAAAAAGAACCCTTTTGTTGTAAGCAATTGCAGCAACAACATGATATAGTCGAGACTATAGCAAGCAGCACCATGCTTAGCGGTCATCCTGTATTAAGCGGTCGGTTTTCAGAGTCCCGAGCGTTTTTTCCGTTAATTACTGTAATTGTCACCTTTATTAAGCGGTCTTGGTAACCTTCGACTGAGTCCCAACGATCTGTTTGTATTGTTTTTCACTTTTATTAAACAATCACTTAAAGCGGAACTATTTCAAATGAAACGAAGGATAATTTATGAGTATAATTTAATCCATGTTTATTTCCCGAAATTAAAGTTAGTAGTAATTTTGAGCGAGTTTTTGTACATTATGTGGTTAATTATGACATACAACGTTTTTTTCACGCTTTCTATTGTACCCTTATTTGTGAGGCCCGTATTAAGCGGTCAACCTGTTTTAAGCGGTCACCCCTCTTGTACCACCGCTTAATACAAGTCCAACTGTATGAAAAGTAGCTCTCAGCGGGTTATCAGTTTTATTCGGTTTAAGGGCCCTACTATTCTTGAATTGCGTACCTAGTTCATCGCTCTACTTTAGAGAGTTTCGGTAGATTCTTAAAAGCACTTGCATTAATCTGTGTATTGAGGTAACATTTTTTTGCAACCCTTTGCCCAAACCGCTCTATTCATCCCTTTGACCATTAAAAGTGACTAGCATCTAATTTCTCCTTACAATATTACCCCCCAAACACACATTGAGGTCACGAGAATAAAGGAAATGATCAATAAGTACAGGTACAGATATTCTACATAGCCAAAGGCACGAACTTCCCGAACAATGTTGGCGTAGACTAGACCACCGAAATCTCTGATTTAAAAAGATGAAACTCTTTCTATTTTACAAGTAAGATTCCTTCCTGCTCCCTGCACTGCTCCCTTTCTTTTTTTTAACAAAAATATACTCAGTAAATGTCTTTGCAATCATATGTTTAGGGATATTTTGGAATTTTACTGCGATATTTTAATCTGTGTTATACTTCGTAAGGTAAATGTGCATGTTTGACTTAAACAACTGTTTCTTTTTCCAGTTTTCCTTGCGAAACATTTTCTGGTCCATTATCTTTTAATAGTTCCTCCTGTAGTAAGGCTACCTCCGTGTTATTGTTTCGTTGGCAAAACTCACTACTGCTGCTACTGTCCGTCTTTCTCTTTCCCCAAGTTGCACACATCTTGTTTAAGCCCAAGTGACTTGTAGCTGAGTTCCTTCTGAGCAAGCTTATGAAGCCGCAGCAGAAAACGTAAGAGAAAAATCGGATGAAACCACGCCGGTAGTGCTTAGTGAGCGTGCCATAAGCAATTGGATTCAAACAGCTGTGGAAATAGAGTAGTGAGGGAGAGAAGCTGAACAGGAAACCTACCAAGCTTTTGTTATCTTCATAAGCAAAGTCGTGAAGAAGCCAGGCAAGCTGAGCAGGCAGCATACAAATAGCAAATAAGATCACGATTGTTGCTAATGTTTTAATCACTTGCATATTCTCTCTTCTTCTTTCTTGATGTGCCGCGTGATGTGGAACCTGGTGTCTACCTTGACGCACCAGATCGAGGCCGATACGAACATATGCAACAGCAATAATGGTCAGTGGCAGCATGAACTGAAGTACGAAAAGGCTGGCTGTGTAGGCCTGCCTGTACTGAGGGGAAGGCCAAACCTCTGTACACCCTTGTGGCTCCGCCAGCTTCGGTTTTGTCACGAGTAGTAACGGGAGCACAAGAAGGAGGCCAAGAAACCAAATTCCCACGATCCAAAGAAGAACGTAGCGATGACGCATCTCGGCCTTAAAAGGGTACAGAATGACATAACACCGAAAAACAGCCATGGATGTGAGAGTGAAGATGCTGAGATTGACAGTGACAGTCATTAAAGGCCAAATTAAACGGCAGTACAGGTCATACTGAATGTCTGCAAACATCATATAGACGTTTGTTGGAAGGCAGACAAACAGGTATACTAGGTCACTTATGGCCAGGTTCAGGATAAATATGTCATTTGCTGTTCGACGATTTCGTCTGGCTACTACGATGATAATCACTAAAAAGTTGCCCAAAAGTCCCAGTACAAAAGCTACCGCGTAGAAGGCCGGTTTCACTTTATCCTCTAGTTCCACTTCACTGGCTGTAGGTTGAATAGTGCTGTTGGACATGATTTTAACAGAGCAAGGTGTCGACAGTCAAAAATCAGTCAAACCTACTTGAAAACCGTTTAAACTACACAACAGTTCACCACTGAGAACTTTTGTTTAGCAGTTTTAGCAGTTTCTTTTTCCAGGATACAGCGTAAGTCGAAGCCTGTATTTCAGGAACAAAGTCTTTCAGAAGGAGCCGTCGTTCTGTAAGCTATTGTGAGGTGGATAATTTGTTGATGCTCCTGGTTCCTCTTTAGGTTTTATGTGTCGAGTTATTTGAAGCATGTAAATCAGTAATGCCCAGCCGTCAGCACTTGCACCGCTATCGGAAATCACAACACTAGGTCATCTGGCTAAATCTGAAAGAAATAATGTTATCGCGTCCTTGTGAATGGAATCTATTAACAAACAGATTTGCGCAAATAATGAGCTATTAAAGAGCAACTTAATTAAAGCCGCCCCCAACTTAAAACACAAGATTGATCATAGATCTCAAGATTGAATAGGCGCATTATTTAATACCCTTCAAGAGCATGTTGTCTACTACTAATCAACATTCGAGGGTGCGTTTATTTATCTTACACTTTATAAAGGTTAGATAGATATATTTAATCGTCTGAGTCCGGCTATTACCTGTAAAAACAAATGGATAGTTTTTATAACTGATATAGTAAAAGCGGTCAACTTGTAACCGTTTTCGCAGAGTGAAGTACCGACCGGTAGACAATGATTTCACTGTCAAAGAAACTGGTTATGAGACTGCGTAAAAGTTCAAACTCGACGGCATGATTTTTACTTACAGCTATGCAAACAAAACTCTGGAAATCAAGAGTCTTTCAATCGGGTTTGACTCAGTTTAAAAACACTTCATTTGACAATTTGATTTTGACGTGACTCTCCGAGACACTGTTAAGAATAATGGACCATAACTAAACATATCAGATGATTATTAAATGGCCTTTTTTCTTTAAATGCCTCCTTTGTTTTTGCCTGAAACTTTTCTTTGTTGAAGTAAACAGCATATAAACTTCAATTATTTTAGACTCGTGGAATTCTTAATGATGTGCCACTAATTGGTTTTCGATTTTCGAGTTCTATTTGATGAAGAACGAACGATGAACATGTTGCATTATTAGGTCAGCATTATAGGACAAATTACACATCCTGCCTAATAAGCGGAGGGCTTGGTAAAAATTAAGTAAAGATTGAATAATGGTTACTTGGACGAGAAAAATAGATCGAGTAGTGACAAGAAAATTTCTTGAAAAACCTCAAAACGATCTTTGCCTGAGGGAAATTGTCTGTTATTATTCTTTTACACAACAATACTGATGTTCTTTTCTTTTCTTTTTCAATAAAAATTCTGATATGGGAAGCAAAATATGATAACTTGAAATTTAATATGGAGTAATGTTGCTTATTACTTAGAATTTGCTTAAATTACCGCCGCCTCGAGAACAAGCCTCGTCGGTGGTGCCTATATGGTGTTTGATTCAAACCGTTACTGATATATTGTGTACACTGAAATTGACCTACTTTTAGAGAGAGAGAGTTTGTTTTTCTTCAAATATTTTAGCTTTGTTGTCGTTATTCTGGGCATATCACCGCTTGTTATCTCAGTCATTATTTTTAGAACGTATCGTCTTTTCCTTGTTTTTTGTTTTTTGTTTTTTTAATGAGGTCGCTTTATCTGGGAGACTTTCACGCGCTAAAACGGATTCAATTACCTTCCGCAAAAAATGAAATGCAGATTTGGCACGTTTCATAATCGTTTCCACACTTTTTGCGGGGTACAAGTTTAACTTTCTCTTGCTGACGTGCGATGGAGTATGATCTGAGACGGCATCTGATCAATGACCAACAAAGCAGATGCTTTTGCCATTGGCAAAAATATGAGCTTCTATTTAATAAGAATTTCCTGTCGAGAAGCTTTCGCTCTTGGATCATAAAAAACACTCCCGTCCCAGCCGCCAATCAGGAAATCTTAACGTTGAAAATGGTTTTTTTCAGCGTCAAAAAAGGCTTCTATTCAAGTTTTGTAAAGTATAGCCCCTCATAGCAAGTGAATTTATGTATGGGTGACCTCAACAGACTCAATAATAAGTAACAAATGTTTATTTTGTATTGCTGTGTTACGCTCTTGAAAGGAAGCAATCTTGGCTTGTGTCCACACAAGCGTCTAGTAATCACTGAGCCGAAAAAAATATATTTATCTATGTGCCTAAATTTGGTGAATGGCTTCAAGCTTCATTAAAAACTGATCGGATATCTTTTCCCAAACAGCAAGATGAAGTTCTGTACTGAGCCTCACGTCCTTTAGGGATTCTTATCTATTTGAATATTCCACGAAAGATGTTTGTAACATACTTTCGAGAAGCTTAACATTTAACCCTGCAAATAATTTCAAGACTTAAAACGTATTTAAAGCCGAAATCATCAGCTTAAGAACCTTGAAATACCAGCTGAACTGTAGGGATCAGAGTCGGCCCGATACAACTCTAGGTTTACAGTTTTGGGGTTTCATTAATTCTAAAACATCATGGGAGCTAATTCTATAAACATGTGGCGACCTTCCAACGGTATGAAATTTTGCGTTGGCAATCGGTATACAGACACTTGCAAACATTTGTTACTAGATTCAATTTGACGAGTCTCCGCGAAACTCTACTTACAGTATTCCAGCGTAAAGTAACTTGTCCACTGTAGTACTGCTGTATAATGTTTTTCAAACAAGTCTTTTAAAGGACTTATGCTTGCAAAACATTCAGTGCTCTGTTCATAGACCAATAGAAATTTACTTTTTACAGCCTCTAAGAATGTTTACTGGAAGGTGAAGCTTTTCAAACGCCTTCAACCCAGCGGGTAAGCGATGAGCCTTCCGTCAGGATTAAGTTTGACTGATGTCAATTAAGAAATGATAACATCATTCAGTTTCGAACTTATTATTCGCCTTTTAAGGGATGAATCATTTTTTCTTTCTAACAGCTATAATAAGATGTTCTCCCAGTCCGAATTCGGTAATAGAGCTGTGGGGAATGTGCAAAAGATTCGTTGTTTTGAAATACGTTGTTAAATTATATAAACAAAAGAACTGACTGACCATGAAAAAAAAACGAGCTTTTTTGGAACAATATTGCTTGAATAAAACCACTTGCGAAAGTTAAACGCTTTTCGAACTGTGCCATTTCAAATACTTACTCGACACTGACAATAATCTTCAAGGGTCTCTCCGTATTTAAATACTTTTTCCATGACAGAACTGTTTTTTTGTGTCTATAATTTGGTTACCAAAAGAGTATTTTATCCTGTTTGATTTATCTTTTTTGCCATAATTCTTCTGATACTGCAATTTGACGTCATATTGATATTTCAATGTCTAGTTTAAAAGAAAGAACAAAGATACCTGGATTCTTTTTCTTCAGTTCTAGAACTTCACAACCCCGTTGGCAGGATGAACGGACTTAATCGATTTTTTTTTTCGGCATTTGATTCAATCAACAAACATCAAACATTGTAAAATGATTTCATGTTACTTTTTTCATTCGTCATTCTAAAGTCTTCTGTAGGTCACGAATTTCCGTCAACTGTAAATTGCGGCGTCTAAGGGCAATAAAGCTAGGAATTTATAATGAATCATAAAGAGCTTCTCATGTCGCTCTCCACAAATCATAAACAAGTGTCAAAGATAAAAGATACATGCGCTTACTCGGACGCGAATTTTCTTTCTAAACAGCATTGCAGACTTCTGTTAACGGTCTAAATGGTTGTCTTTCTCGTTAAAGATAAACATTTCTAAAACAAAGCGAAATAGCCTCATTTCCTTCCGCATCGACTGCAGAGTAATTTTTCAAATCTACTGGAACAACCCAGGAAATCACTCGCTTCTGAAAGCGTCCAAACGCCATATTATCCACGGGATATCTAATAACTTACTCAATTACAGCGCCCTATTTACCGCACACCACTGAGGTTCTTACAATTGCAAACCTTAAAAAAAAAAAAAGAGAAAAAAGGTCTACTCAGATCCTCCTTAAATTCACCATGGACTGAACGAATCTTCCATTTCATGAATCCAACAGCAAAGCCTGCTGGTAGCAGTATACAAGTTCCATATTTCAGTCCTTCCTTTTGATAATGAATTGTCAACATCGTCGATTAGATGATAATATGTTTTACCTGACCAGCTTTTTTGTTCATGTTTGACACATTTTCAATTCACGGTCAAATCTAGGACATATTTACGTTAAATGTTGAAACTTGGATGGGATTTCTCCGCTTAAGTTGCGTGTTTACTAGGAACGAGCCATCTATTGTACTGCAAACGCTTAACCGTCAGCAAATATTTGTAATTCAATAGAGCAGGAATAGTCCAAGATTCCAGTCGTTAACAACAAAAAAATTACAATAATTGCAGTAATTTCATTAGATACTGAAAAGTATGACGAAGTCTTTAATAACGGAGACACTGCAGTCTATCTCACAGAAAAAAATTTGAATCTGATTTTGGTGGTTAAATAGATCAAGCTACCTCGATCCCACAATCGGCTGGTACGTTTGTAAAATAAACGCTTTCTTAAAATGTTGCACTTCTCTCCATTTCGTGGTTTATGTTGCTAACCTTATTTCTAATATTCAGGTCGATGCACATTCAAGGAACCCCAAAAATATTATCTTAATTCAGCCCTTCGTATTTCTTCGAAAAGTCAGGGCTCCATTTATTTTTAACAACTCTGATGAAAAACTGTGAATAAAATAAAAAAGAAAACTTATTTATAATAACAACAAGAACTAAGATTTACTAAAAACCTGTTTTCCCAGTGCGTTGCTTACGGTTTTGTTTTGCCATTGTTGTAGATTTTCAAATAAATGAAAGCAAATACTTCTCCAGTTTCAGTTTCCTTGGACTGGAAGTGAGTGACAGCTCGAATGTTTAATTATCATCACGATTTCCATTTTCCGGCATGTCCTGCCATTCGAGAGCAGGTGACTAATTACTCAGCTTGAAAAAAGATTCGACATGTTCAATAATAAATGTAAAAACGCGCTGGAAATTGGAATGCCCTAGGAATATCAGTTACGCTCTTTATAAACTTGTCTTGACTTGTCGACACTAATCATCACTACAAAACATCTGAATGTTATTAATTCTTTAGGTGTCTCCCGCGTTTAGAAAATGTTCTACACAGTTACTACCCAGACGAGAATCAATATCAAAACTGAGGAGATTTCGCATATTGTCTCTGAAAATGCCTTGATTGATACCTATGAATAGGGGTGCTTTATCATATTTCTATAAAATTGATAAATTGAAAAAGTGTCATCATTCGACAATGTTCAGTTGCAATCACCTTATCGATCT